TTAAGTTAAAATAGCTATGTATGATTAAAGAAAGAGATAAAACTTGTTTTATTCAAAAATACATATTCAAATATTACATATATTTACATGTAATTGAATAAAATCTACACAAATTTCTTCTCTTTTCCACCACCTTTTTGAAATAAAGCGTATTTTAGAAAGTCAAACAATGTTCCATTAACCGAGGGTTCTTTTGGTCCATTGAGTACAATATAAGAAGCTGTAAATAAAAAAATATATTAAAAAAAAACATAAAAAAAAGGAAGATTTAAAAAATAAATAATGAATGGAAAAGTGTTACAACTTGAAGGTATATTTTTTTCAACGCCATATAGATTAGTGTTCTTAAAACATATTTTTCCACCTTTGCCCTTCATATCCATGGAGGCCATATAACTTTTCGAAAACACTCTGAATTTTTAAACAATTATATAACTGTTAGTTGTTTATTAATAACTATTTCAAATATTTAATTTAAATAAAGCAACCTTTTTAATATATTAAAAATAAATTAATAATCAAAATATAAAACATTTCTAGCATTGAAAAATAATTTTCGGGGTGGCCACATAAAATTTTTATAAGAAATTTTATGTGGCCACTTGATAATGGTTTAACGTCCATGCTTATAACTTATGGGGCATGGAAAGGGATCAAATAATGTCATTTGTTATGTTAAATAGCATGCATTTTCTAAAGCAATTTTTTACAATTCCATGCTCTTTAAGGCGTTAACCAGTTTTGCAGACCGAGAATGGGTATTTTGAACATTATACATCCATCAAAAATTAAAAAAGGAAGAATTAATGAGGAGCTTTGATCAAATTTTTACCTCTTTAGAAAATAATAGAGGATTTTAGAAGTGGTTTTTAAAAAAGAGGACTTTAGAGGATTTTAGAGGAGCTGCAGACACCCTGATTATAAATGAGGTAACTCCACTAATTGACTGTAATTGATTTATCTGTAAAAAAACATGAAGTAAATCTAATATTATGCTTGTGATGATATATTATATTTTGGAGAACCATCCAAACCACACAAGTGGAAAATTTGCATCCAAGTTTCCACTTGTGTGCAAATCTTGCATCCACTTGTCAACATTCTCATTATCACATATTTCTTCTGTAGTTGTGAATTAAAAATTTTCACAATACTGTTTGCATTCTTTTAGAATTGAAATAGTTATACAAATAGTTATATATTTTATATCAACAAAATAACTCTTCTTACCACATTATTTAAAAAATAATAATTGTAATATATAGATGTAATAGCTGAAGAGAATTTAATTTTTATTTGTTTAAACTTAAGCCAATTCTTCTCTGCATTTTAGTGCAGTCAATGCTTTAGTACCTGAAAGCCGACACACAGTTTTATCACTAATCCATTCAGATGGAATTACTTCTTCTTGAAAATCTTCATTCCAAACAGCTCCTTTCCGCATATTCGATTTTGAAAAAATTACATAAACTAATTCAAAATGAAGAAACTATAATATAAGTGTACTAACAGGCCTAATTAAACTAGCTAAATTTGAACATTTTATAACCATGATACTTGCTAAACAATAATATTAGTAGACATTATAAGCAAGGATAAGATTTTCTTTATTTTATAAATTTATTATATTTTAAACTCATTTTTATTAATTTATTTATTACTCTATTATTCAGCAGAGTTCTGAATATATTATGTTCAAATAACTTAAGGCTCAATAACAAAGACAAATAATGAAAGAATACTAGGTTGCTAAAACATAAACATCTACATAAGATAGTTATGGAATATTGAAAAAAATAGGAATACAAAAAAACAAAAATACTCATTATTAATATAAAATATAATAGTATACATAAGGTATATTATAATATATGACACAATAATATCTACTTTTAATTAAAATATAAAAAAAACAAAAATTAAAAAAGAAAATATTTTGATAAATAATAAATTATCATCCAAACAATTTTCAAGACCAAAAAATAACTTGTAACTTATTTTTTTACTTATCTTTATCTAATAAACATTACTTATTTTTTACTCATCTTCATCTAATAAACATTAATATTAATATCAATTTTAAACATTATTAGAATTTTTTTTTATTAAAAAATAAAAATATTACATCAGTTACTTTTTGGGCTTTTTTTATTTTATATAAAACATCAACTCAATTCTAGGCTTTTTTCATAATTGAGTTTTAATTTGTAATGTTCAAATAACGCTGAAAAAAAAAATATTAGCAGACAAAAAGAAAATATTTCTTTATTGAAATATATGTAAATATTTTAATAAAGAAATTTTAGATCGGTTTTTATAAATATAAATTTATATCAATCAATCAAAATTTTTTTTTTCCGCCACCTTTTCGAAATGAAGGGTATTTTTAGAAGTTAGACAAAATGCCATCAATTAAAGTTTCATTCGCTCCATTGTATTTCATAGAAGAAGCTGTTAATAAAAAAAGAATTAGAAAAAAAAAAAACAAAAAAAAACAAAAAAAAAACAAGTAGAAATTTTTGAATATATAAAAAATGAGAATAAAAAAGTTTTACATATCTTATAAAGGTATACCTTTCACTACACCATATAAATTAGTGCTCTTAAAGCATATATCCACCTTTCCCCTTCATATTTATGGAGGTCACAAAATTGTTGGAAAATATTCTAAATTTTAATAGATAACAGAAGTGATATTAATTGTGTGAAAACTAATATTAATTTTTTTTTTAATTTAAATTGAACTCATTATCAAACAATTTTTTTGCTAAGTAATTTAATCCTTAAAATTCCTGAATAATTAAAAATTATTTTGATTACCTCAGCATTTTAAAGATATTCCATTAATTGCAATTAATTCATCTAAAAAAAAACAACAAGCAAAGCTAATATTATTGTTTAAAATTTTAATTATCTTTATACAAATACTCATCATATTTTTAAAGTGACAGATAGAAATGGATTTAATTAAAATCACTTCATTTGTATTAAAAAATTAATATTAAAGCCTTAATCATACATTATACAAGAGTATTTTGTAATACAATCTAAATAGTTGTTGCGATACGTAATTTTTTTATCCAAAATTTAGCTTCTGTAAGCTTTAGAAATTTTTTAAAGAAATTTTTGATGAATTCGGAGCTACGGGTATTAATGTTTTTTATATTGTTGTAATGTTTGTATTCATTCCCTGTTAGTTTCTGTAAGTCAAAATTTTAAGGTGTTTCCATAATAAATTCTGTTATATCTGAAATTTAGTGTTAGGCTGAATAATTTAATTTCTAAAATCTGTTTTGCATTGCCTGTCTTATAACATCATTACTTGCAACAAAAACCATGTGCTTTAAAAGTGACCTAGAAGCTTTCAACAATGAAGAAAATATTGCATTTACTAATCCAAAAAATATATTAAACCTGTCAGCAAAATCAGCTGTCAATAATCCAAGTATTAGCATCATTAAAAACTCATCTTTGCTGCATTACATTTATTTTGGTCCAAGTAGTTAAGGATTTTCTTAAATTTTAAAAAACAGAAGTAAATGTTTTTTTAATATCACTTTATCTCTTTTGATTAATGGTGATACTGCACTAACTGATGAAACACATTGACAGATGTAAGGCCAGTATAAAAGTCGCAAGATCTATTATTTTTAAAATGAATGTATGTATACCAGTAAATTGCAATAACACGATTTGTTTGGATTATGTTTATATACAAGTTTGTCTGTTTTCATAGTAATAACTGATGTGGTTGAAGTTAATTTTTCATAAAAATCTTTTTTTTTTTATTTCGTGCTGAAGTTCTTTTTTAAAGTTATTAATTTCCTTTTTTAATTTCTGATGCTTTATTAAAAAACAACGCTTAGCATTAAATTCAACATAATTTAATGGATCATTTTTTGGAAAAGTTGTATTATATTTACATTTATTAATATCAGTCTTTGAGCATTGTAGCCCAAGTTAAACGAAAAATATCGATTTTTAAACGATAATGTTCTTTCAGGAAAATCGTCTGAACATGTTTTCGATCTCTTGAAAATTCTATATGATATAAGTTTAGTATTTACATTTTTTTTTTCCACTATAACTTTAATCGTTGAAATAATGTTTACGATTTTACTTCATTTCTGCGCGCGCATAAATTTTATATCGTTTTTTTTTTTGTCAACAATGATTGAAATAATGACGTTGAAATAACGTTAAATAATCAACGTTTAAACGGTAACGTTGATTTAACGTTGTGACATAGTTAAACAACGTTGAAACAACGCTTCAACCGAATTTCAACGTTGATACAACGTAATAATGCCGGCTGGGATTGCTTTTTTTTTTTTTTTACGATTTTCTTTTGATTATAGATTATTAACTAATCTTAACATATTTATATATATTTGGATATAATTTTTAAATGGTACAAAGAAATTTTACGCTTTGTGTTTATATTTTAATGGTTGATGAAAGTATTTCGGGGTGTAGTGATAAGGCAAATATTGTCTTCTTTTAGCCCCGGTCATGTAGATTTTATTTATATAACACGGCATTGTATTCTTTTTTTTTAATGACAAAATTAAAAAAAACAAAAATAAAAAAACATTGACGGCTGCAAAAATTCATTTCTAACGAATTTCTACTTTTTGAGTGATGTAGCATATTTTAATAACTTTTGTTAAACTCACAGTAAGTGTAGAAACTTACCTTAAAGTTTCAAAAATTACGTGGTTTTGTTATCTACATTTATATTATATTATAGTTTTGACTCAGTTCATAAAGCAATAACTCATTGTTAATATATGCATTTCAATGCAGCATTGCTATATTACAAAAAAGTATAACAATTTAAAAATATTAAAAATATTTTTTAAGATATTAAAATTTAAAAAAAAGAACAAACAGGTTGTTTTATTTTCATTTATTGCATATTTAATAAAATATGTTGTAAATAAATTTGATTATAGTATTGTATACCAACTTCTATTGTTATTGTTACTTTTTTTTTTTAGATATTAATTTCACTGCACTTCATTTGGGCACAAGAAACTTTAATTGGTATGTAGATTTTATATAAATTTTTTAGATAAATTTTTGTACAAAGCATAATTTTGTTTTTTTAAGTATTTTTATTAACTATTTAATTTTTATAAAATAATTTTATAATCCTGGGGACGGGTAAAATGTAATAGACTAGAAAAAGTTATTACCTTTAATAATTATATTTCTTTAATGTTCCGAAAAAAGAAAAACTTTTGAGATTTTTATTTTGTGTAGTGTTTTTACGAGGTTTAATTTATTACTTGTATTTTTAAAAAGAAAACTTTTTTCTAGTTTTAAATAATACTTACTGGTTTGAAACCAAAAAAGGAAACAATTATGAGAATGATTGTAGTTCTTACGGTTTGAATGGCAGTGGTCCAACTTATGATTTTCCTATACTTCTAAAAGTGATCAAAGGTATAAATTTAAAAATAAACTGTGCCTACGTAAAAAACTTTCTTATTATGATACCTGCATTATGTTATTTTATATTTTTAACCAATTAGGACTAAACGGTTTCAGTCAAACAGTATCATTTCAATCTCCAATATTTGCTACATATTTGCGTGAGAATGGTTTTAGTCTCAAAATGGAGAACAAACCATTAGAATCATTTGACAATGATGCATCATTTATATTAGAAAAACACAAAGACGATGATAAATCTATAGTTATTCGATCCTTTAAATATCAAAATATGCTTATCTTAAGTTGCGCTGGCCGTTTATTTTTAGTTGAAGAAAAATTAACGGAAGACTATAAAAATCGTACTAGCTTTATATTTTCAGGTAAATATTGATTTAATTTAATGAAAATACATAAAATCAATACGAACAGCATGTCGTGAGTTTCATGTCTTTTGGTAACAAGGTGCGTAGCAAACAATAAGAATAAAAACAGATAACTATGTTTTCTTTTTTCTTTTTTTTTTATTTGTTTACTAAGTAAAAAAGTTATAATATTAGATATCATCTTTACTAAAAAAAATACACAAGATACCAACCAGAAATCTTGCTAATTGACAAGCTTTAGGTTGGTAAGATAGAGTTTAAGTATTTTTTTATTCTATGTGTTTTAAATTTTAATAGTTTGATTTTTTTGGTGCTCTTCACAGACATAGCTTCAAGTATATTATAAACTTATCTTATTAGGTCATACCTGTATAACTAACTAGACTAGCTAATAATATCAAGTAAAGAAAGCATTGTTCATCAAGAGAAATCAACTGCTTAAGTAGACCTACTTATTAAAATGACTTTAATGCTAGCCATACTGCACGGTGAACTAATTATAATGATGCATAAAAAAACCTTTTGTTAAAAATTGTTTAAAGCAAACCTGAATGAATGGTAACTTAAATAACACATGGTCAAGGAATGATATTTTGTTATTCACGAAGGTTATTCGCATGAAGCAAGGTTACATAATAGAGTAGCTTGATCATAATAAAATATGATGATATGTTTTTAAATTATTGGGAGCATAGCAAATATTATTTTTATTAATGAACTTGACAAAGAAAAAACCAAAAAAAACAAAAAAAAAAAACAAACAAACAATAAAATACCAAAAGTTACAATAAAAAAGTTGTATAAAAGGTAAAATAAAATAAAAAGGTAAAATAAAATATAAAAGTTGTAATACAGTTATTCTTAAAAACTAGTTTTGTTACCAGTAAGAAAAATTATTTTAATTTCCATGTTGAGTTCCAGTGTCTCTTCTACTGTTGACTTATGATTGATGCAGTAAATTTCACCTCAAATAAATTTTATTTAAGGACAAACTAATGACAACAGTAGGCAAAGCAATAATAAAAAAACTACAAAATGAAAATAAAATATTTGAATTTGTAAAAAATACAACATTAATTTGATTTGAGATTAATAGTTTGTTAAAATGATGTAGCTGCTAATACAAAAACTCTAATAATTCTTTAACAAATAAGTTCATAAAATCAGTTTGTTATTTGTAATTTATTATTCGTAGAAAAACAGAAAACATAAACAAAATAATAATTTAATATAATAAGTTCTTAAAAAACACGCAGCCACGTGCCTTTTTAAAGCAATTAAATATAAAACTTATTTATTATATACAATAAAGACATTAACGCTAATTTTTACGTTTTAAAATGTGACATATACTGGATTGAAAAAAAAAAATTAAGAAAAAAAAAAAACAAAAAACGAAATCATCGGGTTTGGTTTAAACCTTTTTTTAAAAAAATGTTGACTTTTTCAATTTAAAAAAGGGATTATAAATTTTACTTTTAGTAAATAATATTTTCTATCTACATTACTGCTATAATTCATAAATCAATACATCGTTAGTTATTGCTCTTTAAATGAAACTAAGCTTTGCTACTTTTACTCCCATCTTGTTTCTTAACTTTGAATGGAGGAGCCCAAAAGTTGAAAGTTTTTTCAAGTTTAGTTCAAGAATCTGGTACGTTTAATAAACATTTATAATCCTTTATAATGTTGTAGTCCGAAAATTTGAGAGCATTCCACCATTTCTAATGGTATTATACTTTTAGAAACAAATTAACTATTCAAATAGTTTTTAGTGAATGAAGCAGATTTGGTCTTCAACTTGACTTTTAATAGCAACATGTTTTTGAAATTTTTATAATTAGAATGTGATTGCAGCTTCATTTTCATTTTCAGAAAGATTATAACCAAAATATACCGTAAATTTCACTAATTCTGAGCAAAATCGCACTTAGTTAATATCTATGATTACTTTTTAAATTTCAAATTATAATATTTAAATAACAAAACTGAAACCTAAACTTAATTGAACTATTTTAAGCAATAAGTATATTTATAATGAAAATGTTGTTAATTTTTAATTTTAAAATGTGAAATTTTCATGTGAAAGTGATATTCCGAACGTACATATTAAATCCCAAAAAATAGCAATTAAAAATAGCAAATAAGTTATATTAACGTAGACCTCTTTCTTAGTGTTAAGTAAAAAGATTTTAAAAATTTAAAATTACTTTTATACTTCAATGTAAGGGTATAATATTGTGTTGGTACAGAGTGTGCATTATCTATATATTAGATCCTTTTTTTACTCAGTTAAAAAAAAACTTTCACTATCATTGTCTGTTTCTGTCAAATAACCACTGTTAACCATTAGAAATCTCAGTTATTAGTATTAGGTTGATTGTAAGCGTTTAGCAAACGTTCTCCTATTAATTAAATAGAAAACTTGTAGTAAGTTATTACCATATAGCAATTCAGTTTTTTTTTATATCTTATACAGTTTTTTTTTTTTAATGCAAGTAACTCAAGGACTAAAATATTGTTAAGTAAGCTCTTATTTTTGCCCCCTAAAAGTATTATTTTATAACCCTCCATTATTTATACCACGTCAATTTTCTTTGCCATTAAATAGCGTTGCAGTTAATTTTTATTGAATAGTATTCCAGCAATATATTTGTATTTGTCTGTTATCATTAAATTATAAAATCAGTACAGTACAGCTACGGTTATCTTTTTGCTATCTCCAAATGAATACTAATTCATTTGGAGATAGCAAAAAGATAACCGTAGCTGTACTGTACTGATTTTATAATTTAATGATAACAGACAAATACAACTTGTATTTGTCTGTACAAATGACAACAGACAAAGATATAAAAAAAAACTGAATTGCTATTGCTAAGTATTTAGAAAAGAATTTTTATAGCGTCTATCTACAAAAATTAAAACTTATAAAAGTTATTTACACTTTTTGCACGCGAATAGTTTCGCGATAATTAAAATTGCAAGGAATGCACGATCAGTTAGAACACTTTTTTCATGCAACGCATTTGTTGTTTGTAACTTTGTCCTAAATGCTTCCGCAGGAAAATCAAAGAGGGTTGATATGGTATTACAGCTGGTGAAAGGAAAACATTCAATGTTTTGACAAATAGACATCTTTGTGGTTTATTTTTAAATTTCAGAGACCGATTTAAAGATTTTTCAAGTTTTAAAAAGTTTTTAAAAAGTTGAAATTTTTTATTTTAAAAGTAATAAGAAACCCTTATTAAAAAAAAAACTGTTTAAATAAAATTCAAATTACATAAGCTTACATTTCATATAATTTGTAAAGTAAATTAAAAGTAATTTATATAAAGAAAGTAAGTAAATTTACTTATATTCAACAACAACTTTGACAGGATCTTGTGAGAGATAATCCAAAAAAGTAGTTTAGAATTCAGACAAAACTGAAACATGGCAGTGAGAAGATACATTTACCCATGGAAGACTCAGAAAGGGTAGACTATTTATAAAGTATTTATGAAAAGCATAAATGGCATAATTATAAGTTCTTATTACAAATTGTTTTGCGTAAAAATTTTTAATATTGAAAAACTAGAGAGGAAAAGTTTAAACCAGTCCTGGAATATGGCGGCTACAACCCCATGTCTTGCAGATTTAGGAACCCCAAAACTTTAAAGTAAATGTTTTTTTTTAAGATTTTTTGCCACTTTAATAAGAAAAAAGGTCATCTGTTCAAAAGTATCCTCAGACCCTGAAAGCCTTAATCCTGCACTAGTTTTAAGAACAACCAGTAAACCAACTAGTCAAAAATATTTTGCTATACTACTGTGTTATATAAGTATAACGCAGGCAGTAGCTAAGCAATAAATCATACGTAGACTAAGAAATATAACTTGTAGTGATGGGAGACTGGAAAAAAAACCCAAAAACATTTACTATCCCTATCCCAAAGGTAAGAGCATCAATTTAGTAACTTTTGCTTTTTATTTTCTTATACTGAGTTCAAGTCGGCAGGTTTTAAAGTTTAAAACTCACTCGTTATGAATATATAAATATATCGAGTTCATGGACCGGCGATTCGTTTTAAAAATCTTTTAAAATCCTTAAAAAAGTATTTGTGAAGTTAAACATGTTAAATGTAACAAGTTATGTAATTTAAAACATAATTAAACATATATCAAGTTTTATAGTTTCTCTTTCACTTAAAAACCGCATTGCGTCAACCTCTTCTTAGTTTATAATCTTTAGCATCTATATCCGATATATATTATGATCTTTAGCATCTATATATATTCTTATCTTTAGCATCTATCTATATCTTCTTAGTTTCTGACCTTTAGTATCTATATAAACAATTTTTATATAACTTTAAAATTTCGATGATCAAAGTGCCAGTATGGCTAAGTGGTTAGGGCGCTGAGCTTCTAAACGAGAAAGCCCTGGTTCAAATCCAACAACCTGTGACTTTTTTTTTTAAATTTTTGTGTGACTTTTTTGTTTAAATTTAAATTCTGCAAGTATTTCAAAAACTTTAAAAAATTTATAAAATACTTGTAAAATTTTGTAAAGAATATATACTAACATATTTAACGATGTTATACACTTTAAAAAATGAAAAGATTTTTAAAAAAGCTTAAAATTATAAAAACATGAAAAAACGTGGGGATATTTGTTGCGTATGTGTCATAATTGTTATACATATTTATATATAGAATATAAAATCCATTGAACTGTAAATCTATTTTGTCATGTATTTTAAACAATAAATAAATATAACATTTTAAATAACAAAAATTAAAATAAAGCAAGCCGATGATTTGAATTTGCCACGCGGCGACCTTAACTTTTTCAAAACATTGTTTTTTATAATAACATAATTAAAAGTTCTAATTTTATATTTAAATTAAACTATTTTATTAAACTAATTACTTTTAAAAATTATTTAAAGTTAAAGTTATTTATAATTGATACAATAAGGAAATGTAGAGTTATACAGTTATTTCACAACGCCC